GCGGGGGGGGGGGGGGCCGTGTTTCGGGTTTTTGTGGCCCCGTCCGTTTGCCGCCCGTGGCTGTCAGGACCCAGGGCGCTCGGTGAGCCCGCGGATGTGGGGCCTGGGTGTCCGGCGTTCTCCCTCCTCAAATCCCAGCCCTGGGAGAGGGAGGCCAACCCTCGCAGTGCCCTGGGGTGGCTTAACGGAATAGAAGTTGGTGGGATCGGTACGGAGCAGGAAAGAGCAGACGCGCTGGTCTTCTCGGGGGTGGAGCGTCTGATTAGTTTGGGCTATAATTAAGCGTTTTTGCCAGGCTTTTTTCTGGGAGCCGTGGTAACCACGTGAATTTGCTCGGTTGCTTCTGTCGAGGTGGACTCCCCTGCCTCCGTGTCGGCAGCGGGGTCGCCGGGATTAGTGACGGAGCTGTGCGTGGTTTGTCTCTCCCCTTTTCTCCCCCCAGCTTTGGGACCATTTGGACCACACAATGTTCTTTCCTGACTTCAGACCCTTCCTGAGTAGCAGCTCACTGGATCAAGACAGCAGGGACAACGAGAGGGGCCACCAAGCCCACGCCGACCTCTGGGGACCAAGCCGACCCCCGCGATTGCCCATGACGCGGAGGTACAGATCCCGGGGCAGCTCGCGCCCCGACAGGTCTCCTGCTATCGAAGGGTAAGTGCCCAAATGACCCCCCTGGAAGTGTCTCGTCAGCGGAAAAAATGTGGGATCTCGGGGAGAAACCCGGTGAAACGGGGTGCCGGCACTTACGGTAGGTGACCCTCGGACCCAGAAAACGCGGGTTTTCACATCAGATGCTCTGCCCTTTGTCCCCCTCGGCACGAGTCGAAGCCGCGTGGTGGGAGAGGTGGGTTTTGCCTGTAACGGTGCCAACCCTCACCGCAGGGAAGCGAGTCAGCGCTTGGGAAACTCAGTCATGTCCTCTCCCAGCCCTCCCACGCTCCGATCACGCTCCGATGCGTTAGCGTCCCTCGTTCCTTCGTGCTCTGCCTCTGTCTCGGGGCTCGCCCTTCTGCAGAGGGATTTACCTAGGCGTGAGTCTTGCAACGACGTGGCTGCGATCGATCGGAGCAGTGTTTCGTGTTCCGCTGCCCATTCTTGCTAAACTGTTGCCGCTGCCGTGTGTGTGTTTGCTCAACTTGTTCTTTTTTTTTCTCTTTCGATTACTCCCTCTTTAGAATAATACAGCAGATCTTTGCAGGGTTTTTTGCAAACTCAGCGATTCCTGGCTCACAACACCCTTTTTCCTGGTGAGTAGCGAGCACGGTTCAGACCGTGGCTTGGATCACGGCTGTCCACACCAGTAAACAGCAGTGGTCTGGTGCCCGGGAGCTCCGTCCCCGCAGTGTGGCCCCTCTGGGAGGATCGTGCAAACCTCGGGGCTGGTTTGGGGCGAGCGAAACGGCTTCCTTGACTCTCTGCTCCCGTCTGCAGGAGTGGGATGCTGCACTCGAATCCCGGGGACTACGCGTGGGGACAGAGCGGCCTTGATGCCATCGTCACCCAGGTAAGACCCTCGTATGTGCCTGGGTGGAGGCGGTCCCAAGCTGGCTGGCCCGGGCTTTGATCTGCGCCTGTAAGTTTTTGTGCCCCTCTCTGGTCAGCCCCACTGCTAGAGACGAGCCCTGGGTTTCGGGCGAGGACTGGCAGCCGACCCTCGGTGTCTGGCTTGGTGGCCGCTTGTGCCCTGCATCTTCAGGGGGGTCTAGGAGCAGGGGTCGGACCTTATTCCTGTGGAAATACAGTATCTTAGCTCACCTCTCTGTCAACTCACGCGTGGTGCAAGGCTTGCAGGTGCCTTGCGGCGGGCTCAGCGGAGGCCAAAGATTAAAATCTCCGTCGTCAGCCCCGGATCTCTCGCCAAATTCAGCAATTTGCAGCCGTGAGCCCTTTTCCCCCCGTGGTTCGTGGAGGGATGAGCCGAGTCCGCTCCCGTTCCCTGGAAGCATTGTCTGGCTCCTTTGAGGATCGGGGGTGTCCGGCCTCCGTCCACAAACAGTCTCTTCCAGGCTGTTGGCGTCACCGGGATGGGAAGAGCAGACGGATGCTGTACCGAGAGCTAATTTGGCTGCTCTTGTCGTGCTGACGCCTCCCAAAAGCGCCTGGCAGAGCCATCTGCTGCCATTCATAA